GCCCGCCCTTAAAGGCGCCGCGCGCGAACGGGCGCCCGGGCGGGGGGCGTCGTGCGGCGCCGGGTGGCCCCTGATGTCCCCTCAGTGGGGTCCCTGGGGGGGGCGTGGGGGGACATGGCTGCTCCGTGGGGAGGGTCGTGAGGTGGTGCCTCGTGGATATGAGGGGGATGAGGGGGGTGTCCCGTGGGGACACGGGGGTCCATGTGGAGATGTGGGTGTCCTGGGGAGGGGACAGGATGGGGACTGGAGAGTGCCCTGTGGAGAGGGGCCATGGCTGGGTGTGCGCAGGGGCCAGATGGGCGCCCCGGGCCGAGGGGGCATGGTGGCTCCGTGCAGAGCAGGTGGGTGCTCCATGGAGCTGGTGGGTGTCCCATGGCGAGGGGGACGTGGCGGCTCCATGAGGAGCTAGTGGGTGCCCCATGGCGAGGGGGATGTGGCAGCTCCATGTGGAGATGTGGGTGCCCCATGGGGAAGGAGGCAGCCCTGGAAGGGGGATCTGCCGGTGTGTTTTGCTGGGAGGAGGCTGCGGTGGGAGCCTTGGGCCTCCCCGAGGTGGCCGGGGCAGAGGAGCGGAGGCAGCTCCGACCAGAGAGGCTCATCCTGCACCCTGGCACCCCGCGTCGGCCCCCGTTGCCCATCGGGGATGGGGACGGGGCGGGTGTCCCCCACAACAGCAGCTCTCCCCCGCAGTGACGGCTGTCCCCGTGTTGCCGAGCCCCCCACGCGCTGCCAGGACGAGCACTGAGCACCGCGCGGGGGGACAGTGGGGCCGTAGGTGGAAGCCTCGGGCTGGCCCGGCCGTCCCGGCCACCATGTCACGGGCTCTGGTGACATCAGGCTCCCTGGCCTCCGCACCAGCTGCCTCCGCTTTAACCCCTTCCTGGCGGCGCCGCCGCGCTCCCGCCTGCCCGCTGCTCCCGGTTGTCGCACGGTGGGGCTGAACTAGCCGCATCTCCCGCGGGAAGCTCCCCCTGCGGCAGAGCCCCCGGCTCCGCGCGCCCGCCGCCTCCCGTGACTCAGCAGCCCCGCTGGGCCGAGGGCTGCGGGATGGCTCCGGGGCTGCTCCGTGCTCCGGGGGCTGCTTTTCCCGCAGCCGCTCCGCTCCGGCAGCCGCCGCTCTTCCTTAAAACCCTGCCTCGCTGCAAAGCTGCTCGGCACACTCAGCGCGGAGGTGGGCGAGGAACAAAAATAGACAAATTAAAGCCTCAAAAGGCCATGCAATGAAAATGTAAGGATCTTTTTTCCCCGCAGGCTCCTGGTGAGCTCTGCCTGTGCCGCAGATGTGAGCTGCTGCCTTCCCCCGAGCGGCGGCACCTCCGGCTGCAGAAACGGGGGTCATTTTGGCCCCCTTTGCCCATCCCGGCCTCGCGCTCAGGGAGCCTGCGCGTTCCCAGGGCTGGGCCTTGTTCCCTTGGCCAGGAACACCCAAAGAGCAGGGCACAGCTCATCTACACGAGTAGTCCTGGCACACGTGGAGGTTGAGGTGTCTTCCCCAGGGATGCCTCCGGGGTGAGAAGGTCTCGCATCCATGGAGGAGCGGAGGGACCGGCTCTGGCTCCGGCGTGTCCTGCAGGATGTGGGCAATGGCACTGTGGCTGGAGGCTCTTGAAGCCACCCCGGACCAGCGGGGATAGCGGCAGCAGGCAGGAGGGGGCGAGGAGCACGGCCTGAGGGGTCCCGCGCTGTGCCTGTGCCAGCCTCGCCTGGAGTACGCCGGGCCGGTTCCCATGGCAACGCGGGCATTTACCCTGCTGGAGCCCATGGAGCCAACCTGCGTGGCACCGGAGCCTGGTGCTCCGCGCGCTGCCAGCTGCGGCCCCGGTGCCCCCCGCCGTGCCACGTTGCGAGGAGCCGCGGCCTGTCGGGGCTGCTCGGCCCGGCCGGCGCCTGCGGCAGCGCAGGGGATCCTGCGGCCCCCAGGGGCTCGGCGCAGGCTTCCAGCAAAGCCCCGAGTCATTGAAGCGGGGCAGTGCCGGTCCCGGAGGGCGGCTCTGGCAGGACGCGGCAGCGCGGAGGGGCAGGGGCTGCGGGGAGCTGCCGGCCCCGGCGGGGCGAGCGTGGCTGCTGTCACCCCCGCCGTGCGTGGGGCAGCCCCGCGCCAGGGACCCCTGTGCTCTCCAAAGCATCCAGGGACCCCCGGCTCCAGGAGCTGGCTGAGGGGCCAGTTCCCTGGCGTGGGGCAGCCCTCACTCTGGAGCTGCCCTGCTCAGCTCCAAAGGAGGCAGGTTGGGATTCATGGGCCCAGCTTAGTTGGAATTGGAGCAGGTGCTAAAACTGGGGCCGCTGGTGGCTCTATGGGCCTTGGGCCGCGTCCCTGGGCCCGGGGTCCTGAGCCAGCAAAGGGCACTCGCCACTGGCGCGACGGCGGCCGGAAAACAAAACAAACCGATGTGGTGATGCTTTAATGACAGGAAAATAACATGACCTGCCGAACGCGGCTATTAGGGTGACTCAGGGCATGCCGGGGTGAGGCAGCGCAGTCACGGCTGCAGGTGCCCGCAGAGGCGCTTACCCCACCGGCCGCCCTCCCGGCCTCGTGCCCTGTTTGATCTTCCCTGTCGCCCGGGCCTCTAATTAGCGCAAGCGGAGCCCTCGGCGGGAGCCGCACACACGGCAGCCCCGCGCTCGCTTTTCCTCGCGCTTCTCCGGTGTTTCCTCCCGAGCCGGCGCTGCTCCCAGCGCAGGGGCCGAGGCGGCAGCCAGACCCGGCCTGGGGACTGAGGGCCAGGGCTGCCCTCGTGGCAGGGACCGCGGCGGCTTTGAGGCTGTCTCTGCTCTCCGGGCTGCCGCTGCGCTCTCCTCCATCCTGGGTGCGCGGCACTTGGGAGCCTTGGCTCTTGGGAGGACTCGGCGCCCTGCTCGGTGCTTGGGAGCTTTGGCAGAGGCTGCCCTGGGCCGTCCCCGTCGCCCCTGTGCCCAGGGAGAGCCTGGAAACGGGAGGCGCGGGGAGGCAGCGACCCCGGTGCAGCCGCGGCCGTGCCCCGACCTGCCCGGGGAGAAAAACCTGCTCTGCCCTGGGGCGGCTGAGGGGAACCCGCCCGGCTGCTTCCCGCGGCCTCCCGCTCTTCCGCCCGCCTCGGCAAGGAAAACTTTCCTGCTTTTCCTCCCGGGCCAGCTAAAGGAGCACTCCAAGGATTTGCAGCTTGCTCTGTTCCCTCCCTACTGCTCTGCAGAATGGCTGTCCCTTCCCTTGGCACTGCCAGGCTGCACTTCTCTGCCTCTCCAGACCTCATGTGAATCTTCATCGCTTGCTGCTGCTGTTCTTGTTTAAGCAGCAACATTCCCTAAGTAGTTTGGAGGTTGCAACAGCCAGCGCTGTGCGTTTCCCTCCTCCCTCCCTCGGAGAAGCTGGTGGATATGGATACAGGCAGTTTCATGATCTTCACAGTCCCACTCGGAGTCCAGGAACACAAACTCAAAACTGTTTCAAATCACCTTGATTTTATTACAACCAAAAGATTTCACATTCAGTGGCACCTCGGGTACACAGGATAATTGCTCTTGGCGGGTGAAACCCCCCAAAAGGCAAATGCAGGTGTCTCAAATGGGTATTGGTGTAACGGCAGCGCAGTCTGGGTGCGTTGCAGGGTGAAATCCCTGCGAGCCCCCACGTCATGCTCTGCTTGGTGGGTAACCCGCCCGGTGCTGCGTGGCGGGGGCACTGACGTGGCGCGAGGCGCTTGGCATGGGAGCTGCCGCGCTCCAGCAAAACACGCCAAGCGGCCCCTGGAAGGAACCGTCCTTATCCCGTTTTTCTTTCCAAATGCTTTGTACTCAAGTCTCACAGGGGTCTGTTTGACGTGACTGAGTGTTGGCTGTAGTGCCTTGTTGCCTCTGATGGCTGCTCTCTTGGAGAACCGGGAATGTTCTGATAACGTGTGGGGCTGCAAGGAGCCTCCGCACACGGAGGGGCCGGGGTCTGCGGCTGCCTCCGCTTCTCTCCCCTGTGCAAGAAGGGTCCGGGCGCCGAGGACTGTTCTCTTTGTGTTCCGAAGGGCTGCTCTGCTTTTGCGCCTGATGGAGCAGGCACGTGGGAAGAGGGGCTCTGGGCAGCTCAGCTTGCCCGCGGCAGTGGGGCAGCCTGGGGGTTGGGACCGTGCTCCCGTGCTGTGACAGGCACTAAAACCACGTAACACCTGCTGGGGAGCCTCCCTGCAATGCCCGTTCCCATCCCTAATCACAATTAAGTTAAAAAGATTGGACAATTGCAAGCTCTATTTTTACAGCCTCAGGCAGGCGCGGTCTCCTTCGCAAGCCGATGCTGGTTGAGACAGGAGCGCGGGAGGGAGGGGGCCGCGTTCCTGTCCCCGTCCCTCGCCCAGCACCGCCGCTCTGCTGCCCTGCTTCTGCAGCGCTGTCAGGATGGAAGCTCCGTGAGCTGCAGCAGGCGTTAGAAACGCTGCCCGGTCACGCTACAGATGGGCTCACGTGGCATACAGTTCTTTCTTCTGCTACACGGCAGCAGAATTCTGACAACAGCAGTGTTAAAACAGCACGGTCGAAAGGAAACCAGACAAAGAAATGTCAGTATTTGTACGATTTAACAAAGCTCCCTACTTGCTTTTGCGAAAAAAGCTCCAAAAGATTTTAACCAGGAGGAAGCATCCTTGATTCAAACACCGTTAAAATCTTCCAGCGCTGTCAGAGTGACTTCAAAGCCTCTCCACGTGTGGCTGCTCCATCGCGGTGCTCGCGCCCGTCCTCAGGCTTTCGTGATGTAGCCTTCCCTGATAAGGAAGTCGTAGATTTTGCGGGTTTTGTTCACGTCGATCTTGATGAGCGCTCTGGCCTGCGCTAGCCGCAGCCCTCCTTGTTTGTTGCACTCGTTCACTAAAGCAGCTTTATATTCCAAATAGGCTCCAGGGACCAACCTCACCATCTGACAGAGCTGCAAGACAAAAGGTAAAGTTAATAAACACAAACGCCTGTCACGCGCTCGCATTCCGTGCGCCCGCCGGGGGAGCAACATTGAGAATATTCTTCTGAAAGTGCTTTTTTATTGTGTGTGTTTGCGTGTGTGTGTATATATATAATACATATATAAAAACACACACACTTTTTACTGTATATGGAGGGACTCGGTAATTGCCCTCTGAGCTGCTCCAATCCACAGGTAGGGAGAGGAGGCGCTTTGCGGCTGCCGCACTCAGGAACGTTCCTCGCTGACGCAGGGCGAGGGGAGCCCGCGTGGGCCTTGCTGCCCACGGCGCCGCGCGCCCGCGTGCCAGGGCCCTGCGAGCCGCAGCTCTGCTGGCCCGGGCCACGCAGGGCAGCTGCCAGTTTAGTCCCTGCAGAGCAGGTCGCTATTACCCTTCTGCAAAAGCAGCTTCGTGCGCAGCGCTCGCTCCCTGCGGGAGGCTGGCGTGGAAACCCTGTGTGCAAGGTCCCGTGCCTGGAAGTGAGGAACTTGGAGAAAAGGCACCAGCGGGTCACTGCTGTGGCCTTCAGGTTTGCTTCTCAAAGCCCCTGTGTTCTGCCGCAGGCTGCAGTGCTCCCCTTTCCCTTCCAAACACCAGCTTTCTGCCAGCTTGTGCACTGTGCTGCTCCCAGCAGATCCTGGCCGTCTCCTCCTTTTAATAAGGAAACACTTAATGATTGTTCCTTATTGATAGGAAATAGATGCAGCAAAGTCTGAGCTCCTCTGGATGCTGCAGCCAAGGAAACTGCGTTTGCAAACACAGCAATGCCCTAGTCACAATTATGCGTGTGCTGAAAGGACCCACAAACACCATGTTCCCTGTGAACCTGTGCTCTGATTCAGTGCTGCTACCCCAGAGAAGGGGAAAGGAGCTCATCACACAAGCCACAAGGGAGGAAAGAACCTCAGATGTGTCCACGGCATTTCATATATACTGAAATCTGCCTTGTGCGCCATCTAAGGACAGATTATGCCTTTTAATATTAAAACAACAACCACTAGGCACTTATTTCAGCAGCCTCCCCGTGCAGCCTGTCACTGACCACGTGCATTCAAGGATGGGTGCGTGGTGGGGTGAGACCCAGCCCTAGCCCCTCTGCAGCCCCACGAGCTCTCCTGCGAGAGCAACGGAGCTGCAGCTGCAGCAGCCTCTGCCCCCGCGGCCCGCGGTCCCCCTGCGCCTGCTCATCCTCCCCGGGCTGCACTCGGAGTGAACAACACTCACGACAAGGTAAGAATACGCTGTGATTGCCTCCATGCTTCACTGGGCTGTTTCGGTGAAAAAACACACTCAGTTGGTTGAGGTTTGGCTGTGAGATGCCTATACAGAAAGAGCTACGTTACTAAGGTTTGGTGATCTGTCCAGCGAAGTCCTTAACAAATTCCATGGCCAATTTGAAAACAGATGCTCACGTATAAAACCAAACCAAACAACAACAACAAAGCCCTCTCTGCTCACCCTGGTTTCGTAAGGGCAGAAGAGGATGTCATTGTCCACACGTTATAATGGCCTGTAATGACACCTCGGCTCTCCCCAGTTCCTTGGCTGACGAGGCCTGTTTGGTGGAGCGCTGCTGTGTGCAGTGCAGTGACCGCCACTAGGAAGGCCGCTGGAAAACGTGAATGATTACTAGGCCTGAGTGGAAAAGAGTAACTGAGGCCTGAAACTGAGATGATATTCAATGCATCCGGGACATGATGCGAGTGCCCTGTGCTGTGAAGATAAACAGTTTATATGTAGGTCACCTTTTCCTTCCTTCCTCACCTCTTTCTCCTTCTCGTTGAGCTTCTCTGTCCCTGGGAGGCCGGTGAGGTTCAGTGGTGGGGCACTCCGCCTACCTGCAAAGACAACACACAAAAACTCTGACAACCTCTGTGCTTCCAAAGCGCCCGTTCCTTCAGTGCGTTATCACAGCAGCAGCTAAATACCTTTGTATTAACCCGTAGTATTTATAGTATCCCCAAGTATTTATAGACAGAGTTATCTAGGATTTAAAACTGCACTGTTTTGGTAAGAGGGGTGGCGTTGTGACTGAGGTAGCTAAGCGCAGTGAATCCTTGCAAAAGCTGGGAGATTGGTGGCTAACAGCTTCCCGTGAGCAGCCCTGGCCGCGCCGCTGGGGCTGGGGTGAGCGAGTTCAGCGCTGCGCCCTGGGTGTGCCCCGCGTCCCCGGTGAGAAACCGGCACCTTGTAAAGACACGGAGATGATGACAGCGGGGATTAAGTGCCAATTTCCCAGGCAATCTCCCTGACCATCTCCTGGAGCAGTTTCCTTTAAATGTCTTTTAATACGGTGCAGTTATTGCAAAGCAAGTGCAGGCCGTGGGTTTGTTTGGGCGCATTAGGATAAACAGTGCTGAAACAGCTATCCCAGGCTAGCCCGGAGTTCTCACTTTCATTACTGCTTGTAACTTCAGCTTGGCTAGCGGAGCTGCAACTGTGCGAGGCCTGCCTGCTTGCAGGGTACATATATTTTGAACTATATTTTTATCTTCCAGAGTTTAGAACAAATCTAGGGGTATTTCTTCCTATTTTCAGAAGGTCTGTTTCCCCTGTGCCAAGGGCTGCACAGCTGGCAGGATCAGCAATGGTCTCCTTGTCCCAGGACAGCCCCCAGACAGGTAAGGCAGGACTAGGGGATGGACGGGCTAGAAACTGGGAGAGGAAACTGAGGCCAGGACAAAGAGCAGGGGAGGCTCCCCCCATGTCCCCTCGGTCTGCAGCCGGCAACAGGCATCTCGGGACCGAGGCCGGACGGGCTTTTCCTAGGAAATGACACACACCAACTACGCAAGGCAACGTGCAGTGAGGCTGTAAAGTCAAGATGTCAATGTAAAAGGGATCTAAATAAAAGGGATCTAGAATTAAAGTTAGGCAACGTTAATTTGCTCTCTCATATATGCTCCTCACAATACAACCTTTAATTACCAAGCCACGTGGCAGGTTTTCCCCAGCATCCTCGTCTTATTCAGTAAGCAGGGTTGATAATGCTCACTTAATGAGCAATAATTTGGTATTTTGTTTTGGTTTCGTTCACCATGTGACACTGGTCACCCACGTGGCCTGTTAGCCAAGCTCCACGGGCAGAGCTATGGTGCTCCTCTCTCGCTGGCCCCTGAATGCTCCACAAAAACCTAATGCCATTAGTCACCCTCGCACTAGCTGGGGGGAGGCCGTCTCCGTTTCATCTGCTCTCATGCTCACAGTGAGAAACACAACGCTCTGTTCCCTTCAGAACACCAGATTTTAGCTCTTGCTAAACATGTTTCAACCCTAGTGCCTGCTGACTTCTGCAGTGACTAACTGCTCAGCATTCTGACTCTGATTTCCAGGGCTCCTGTCACGTTTCCAGAGAAATGAAGTGTGTGCACAACGAGCAGCCACCTCTGAGAAGTGCAGCTCAAGTGATTTGTATTAGGCTCCACAGAAAAGCTAGATGAGAGGCAGCTGGGATCCAGTTTCCCCCAGCAACATTTATCAGCCTCACATATATTTCTTTTCCTTCCCTCCCTTCCCTCCCCTAGTCTCATTCACTGTCTGCCGTCTGGTGACCTCAGCAAACGAGCATGGGATTCTGCAGAACCGCCTTGAGTAACTCCTGAATCTGCCACACTGGCTACTGAAACAAACAGGGGGCCTCTTGATGCAAAGAAATAACTCGTGATTACAGAGCTAACAACTTCCCAAGCACGCGCGTGAGGTAGGAAACTGCAACTTCTTTCATCCTGTAACTCTCGAGTGCTTGATACTGTGACCATTGAGTGCTTCTCAGGCAACTTTTTTCTTTTTGGCGCTCTGCCCTCCCCAATCTGTATTCTGTCAGGTGTACAGCTGCATTTGAACACTTGGAATAGCTTTATCTTCTAAATAATACATTTTGTTCTTGTATTAAAACTCTTCTTTCCTGCCTCGCTAATGTAGCTTTAGGGTGGATTTTCCCCCTGTAGCCAGAAAAAAACCTAGAAATTCAGCACAAAGCTACAGACTTGGCATGTGGAATGAGCTGCAGAGGGAGGAAACGGGGGCCTGTGCAGGGCTGAGCTGCCCACGAGGGCAGCGTTTGCCAGGCCCCGCGCAAGGCGCCTACCTGAGTTTGAAGCAACTGGTACTGTGGGACTCAGGCCGGAATCGCTGCAAAGAAAGGGAAATTTTAGACTGCACGTTACACAAGAAGAGCTGCACAAGTTGGCCATGAAACTTTTTTTCCCCTCCAACTTCTAAAAATTAGAAATTTAACTTGCATAACCCAGGCCCAGATCTGAAGTCAACAAGATTTCTGAAGATTTAGCATTTCTGAGGTTGAAGACCATGTCTGAAATTTTTTAAGGGGTGAGTGGGCATGAAAAGCTCAGCGGAGGACGGGGAAGTTGCGGCTCATCTCCCCAGTCGGTGCAGTGTACAGGATGTGCTTCCTTGGCACGGCAGTTTCTTCCTTAGCTCAAAGGGCTTGTGCAGCGTGACTGTACATTAATAATGCTGCTACATCTAAAACCCTTGAAATATTTCAGGTGTCATCTGTGCTCTCATTAGTACCACGAAGACCTCACTTCCCTCAATGGCTTAATTAGCGGTAGTTCAGTTCTTGAAATATACAGAAAACCAAGATTTTTGAGCGCCTCCTAGTCACTTCCTTGGCTGAAACTCCATGAGTACCACTGCTGCTTCCTGCTTCCCTGCAGGATCATCTCACTGTAATAAACTGGGAATGCGTTGGTTCTTAGGGGAGGGAATGTGCTTGAGGTACCCTCTGCCTAAGGTATATGTGTATAGGATGCAGTCTTGCCGTAACCTACATGTCAGCTTGTCGGCTGAGCCACTGCTGGCAGGCGCTGCTGTCCTGGATGTACTGCAGCACTTCGGAGAGCATGGTGCGCTTCAGGCGCTCCTCGTCCCGCGTCTTCTTGAGGTGGTCGTACGTTCTCGCACCTACGGTGAACACAGACCGTCTTGTCACCGGCTGCCTCTTGTCAAAACTTTCAGCCTTTTCTGTGCTTTGGGAAATAAGAGAAACTCTTCTCTAGCACGGGCTCTGCCTTTTCTCCCTCGTGGAAATTCGTGCATGAGAAGATATTAGATTCCACCCTCTTTCCTCCTGCCCCATTAACTTCAGGCCCAAAACAAACAGTGGACTTTGGGATCCACTTCGGGATGGAACAAGGCATGTAAAAAGATCTTATTCCTCTCTCTGGATTTTACATTTCTTGATCACTGGTGAAAATGCCCGGACAAAAAGCATGAGAAAACACTGTGCCACTATACATACGCACATATGTGTGTTTGTATATATATTTTTTCCCTCTCTGGAACCTTTTCAGAGTGGTGACTAAAGCAGAGTTCTGGCAGACAAAAGATATCCAAGCTGATGGCTCAAACTAGCTCTAAATCACCCCAGAGTTATGGATTATTGCTAAGTCCTCGTTCAGTAAGAGTTGGGCAAGCACTTTAAAAATACATGTCTCCAGTGTATCCTAAAAGCTCCCGTCATCCTTCCCGCCCAGGCGGCGGGACTGGGCTGAGCCTCGCAGCGGGTACTTACTGCAGAAGTTGGTGATTCCCGCTGCTCTGTACTCCTGCAGCCGCTTTATTTCCCTTCGCAGCTCGAACTCCACTGGTTTTTCCGCACAGGCGGCGGAAGGGAAACGCAGAGAACAGAAGCGGGTCAGTGGGTGACAGCGGCGGCGCGGGAGCGTCCCCCCGCCCCGTCTGTGCCCAGGGGGCCGCTCTGTGGGGACAGGGGCACCCCGGGACCCGCCTGCGGCACCCCAAAGTGCTGCTCTGCCGCAGCGCTGCCCGGGCACTGGCTGCAGCAGGTTTCCAGCACGTGCATCAGGAAAAGTTATTTATCTTTATGCTTAGACAGTTCCTTTGCCTCTTCCTGGTCAAGATAAATAATATTAATAATGTAGGATTTTCGGGAGGCATTTTAACAGCTTTGAAAAACTAATCCATGCAGGCTCCTTATGGTATCTAATGTCTTTGAGCTACCTTTTCCATAACTGAATGTCCGAAATTTGTCATTGCTGACAACTTTTTCTGCAGTCAGTTCCATAATGGCATTAAGATTAAATACTCATACGTTAAGATTAAATGCTCGTTTCTTTTGCTCACAGAGCTCTACTGCCTATGGTTTTTTACTGTCTGGCTTCGAGGCATTACTTTGTCTTTAGCTCAAATTTGTTTACTCACATTGGTCAGCACAACGTGTGTATTTGATTATCATATTAACTTGAGGCCTTTTCTGTTACAACAACAACAACAAAATTAGGTTTCAGGAGTAACACTCACATGTTGCATTCATGATTTTGCAGGATCATGTCGTTGGTATTTAAAAAAAAAAACAACTGAAAATATTGTCGCAATTGTTGAAGGGCTTTGTTCTTGCTAATGAGGAACAATTTTGATGGTAAGTCACAGAACTAAGCAGGATGTAATGACTCGTGCTGGAATTTGGCTGAACGCATGCTGTGATTATGCATAAAGACTTGATGGTTTGGTGATGGAACAATGACCTCTCCCTTTACGGTAGGAAACATAATGACAGCTGTACTGTATAATTATATATACATATGATATTTTAACACGTATCATTCAAAGAATTTACAATTTGCTGTTAGCTCCCACCTCTCAATACAGATGTAAAGTTTATGTTTTCTTTTTTCTCTCCAATGAAAGAAAGTGCCAGTAAATAATGTTCTTTTGATGACAAAAAAATACTACTTCTAACATATGACTAGAATGTCTGGTCAACTGAGAAGTCAAAGAACTCAGACACATCTTAGTGGAAAAAAAATAAAACAACACTTCCTGATCATTTAATGTATCACCCCAGGAACACACTTGTTTTTCTGAAGTGTGGGGAGAGGAGTGAGCGAAGGGAACCCCCCTGTCCTCTGTGGTATCTATTTAGGAGAGGGAGCAGATGAGGCAGCCCTTCCACAGCCTCCTAAAGAACAGGCATGCTTAGATCCTTACAACACCTACGTGCATGGCTCTCGATGAATTTGTCGTGCTCCAGTGGCCCAAGAATTCGTGCAAAGCGCCGCATCGTCTCATACAGGTCCTGAACCTCCTTCGGGTACCGTCTTTCCAGAACTGCAGTCAGGGGGAGAAAGTGACACACTATCAGCAATTCAGTGCCACCACAACTGAATTGGTGGCTACATGGTCTTTTCCCTACAGTGGTAAGACCAGTATCTATATATAGGAGCTTAGATTGTGAAGCTGGACCATACTGAGGTTCTAAGAAATTGCTGGGATGCTGCCAGATTTCCTGAAAATTGCTTTCAACTGCTACAAGGAAACAACAACCAAGCCGCAGAAGGGCGTGAGTTAACTATTTGTACTGTACACGAATCCAGCTATGGGAAGAAAATAAATTCTTGTTTATTCTTACAAATGTAGGTAGTTGAAAGGATCCTGAATTGACTACCAGCCTCTGCGAACTGTCCTGAGATCCAGGTCTGGCATATTTTGTGGCTGTTTGGGGGTCACAACTACAAACTTATGAGCAAAAAGCAAAAAAATGATACTGCTCCTGCGATTTAAAAGGCAGAAAAGGTGATTAAATGTTATTTGGTGATTTTTGAGATAGAGCAAGATGCAAACAGAAGGTCTGGACTGCATCTTTGCCCCTCTCAAGTGCAGGTGCTAAATGCTTCTGAAGGGCAGGACAGAGAAGCAGCTGATACACTGAGTTGGGCTCTGTTACATGCAGCCAGTCGGGCAGGAAATGTGGCGGAATTCAGGCTGTCTGAATGTGGTGCAGGGTGGATAAGCCACACTGGTGCACTGGAAACAGCGAATCTCCAAAGTCGGGCCTCTGAAGTTTGAGTCAAGGCCACTTTAAAGCAAGGAGTTACATTTGATACTCACTCTGGAATTTTCTGAGGTTGATTAAGCCATGATCTCTTATAATTCTGTAATAAAAAGCAAAACAAAAAGAAAAGCACTAATGAAAAGCATTAATTACTGCATAAAGCATGTTCTGTTGCATAAATACGTAAGTGTCAAAGGGAAACGGTGATTTAGACCATCAGATATGTGAAGTTTTTATAACCCTTGAACTGTCTAGCTGAGGAATGTGATGCAGCGAGGCTTTAATGGGTGTCAATTCTGGGAGCAGCTTGAAGGAACTTTTCCGTGACAGCTTGAGTTTTAAGCAGAGGAAAATGATTTGTGTAACTCATAGGTCTGAAATGTTCATGTTACTGGCAGGGAAATGAGCAGGGTAAAAGGCAGGTAGGATATTTACAAGTGCATGACAAATACACTTGTCACAGGTTTCTGCAAATGTCATGTGGTCACTGCTGTGTGGCAATTTGATAAATACTCAGCTTTTGCAAATGATAAGAGATACTACAAAGTTAGGCTTGTCAAGGACAAGCTGGACTTTGCTCCATGAAATCCATTACATTTTCTTTAATATGGATAAAAGAACATTCCTGTCCCATGCAGAGAAGGTTTTGAGGTTTTGTGGCAGTGACACAAGCATTTATGTCTTCTTTTTTTTTTTTATTCTCTAATATGTGTCCTGTTTTGCTATTGTAACCTCACAAAAATGGACACGGATTTGTTTTATGCAACTGTGCAGTTCCTTTAGAAAGACATGCTGTGTCACGGCAGCAATTATACCTCAAAAATATATTTTTTTAATTTTATCAAGATCCAGCCCAAAAGATAGCAATTCTTAACTGTTCTTAAGCAGAACTATGTTCTATAAAGAGGAGAAAGAATGGAGGAGTCTTTCTCCAAATGATCATTCTTCCAGCAGGCAGTAATACAGCAAGAAATAATTTTAAATATTGAACAAAGTACTTGAAAGTTATAATAGAATTGAATTTAATGAATAGATTGAGTCATTCTAAAAAGCTGTCAAATTAACTGAATAAATTACTCAAACTTACACAAGCAATAGAGTTATCTTCATTGCACATTCTGAAATCTTATGGACCACTAAGAACCAAATATTGAGATGAAACTGTTTCTGTGGAGAAAGTGGGGGGTCTGGCATCTAGGCGTTTCTTGTCTTTTTTGGCCTGCTGTCGCTGGCAAAGCCAGGGGGTGATTCTGGTCTGTGCAAAGCAGGAGAATTACACATCTAAGCTGAACTCTGTCATGCAAATCTCCTAGAAATTCTCCTGTGAGAGAACCTTAAGGAGAGAGCAAATCACTTCTATCTGGTATGAGGAGAGCTTTAGGACGCGTTATATGGTTATGAAGCAAAGGAAGACAGTTAGTGCTTTAAAACCCACTTTTTTCTCCTCTGTCTTTCCTTTAACCGGGAATGATAGATATCTACAACCGCAATCTTCAGAGCTGCAAAATATGGAAACAAAGATCCCATGTTACATAAGCAATCTCGGCAGCAGGCTTATTTCCACGTCTTTAAGCTGAAACCGTTTCACATTGCTCCTTAAAAATCCCCCGCCCATTCGAGAGGGACGTGAGCCCACTAGAGGCTGACCCTTTGCAGACTACACATGCTATTTGTGGAAGCTTCCCCCACTCACGCCTCTCAAATACATTATTGCACAGAAATATGAACCTGGGTAGATCCTGAAAACTCTTTTCATCTTCCCTTACACAATCCTGGACTCTTCTAGGATAAGAATAGATTTGTTCTTCTGCACATGCCAGTGTGGCAGAATCCACTATGTAGCTATGCGTTACTTCGTAGTTTTAAGAAAAAAGCAAAACTGATAATTACAGTTTATTGACTGGATTCCCTAATAAGTAATTAATGATGCAATTAAGCTAGGAAGTGTGGCTATGTATTTTTAAAACACATTTTTTGTACATTTTGTACATTTTTAAAACAAAAACATATGTATTTATATGTAAACATAAGGAAGCCCAACTTAGCCTGCAGGCAATTCACCCGTGCAATCCTCCGGATAATAAAATTTCCTCTAAACAGGGATACCTAAAGCCCAAGGGTTGCACATATGAGCTCAGGAGTCATCAGGTTTGAGTTCCACTTACTGATTTTACATATAATCTTCAATTTATATAGAAAAATAGTTTGTTATGTTATCCTAGGAGCCAAAGATTATGTATAAAAACAGGAGAGACAGCATAGTGTTCTTATTTCTATCTGCAAGTTCCTTCCAAACACGGGATGTTGAAAAACTAGTATGTATTTTGATACTTACTTGAGTTTTCTAATTTAAGAACAAGCACAGATAGCGTATGCTCCTTCTTGCTTCAATGTGGGGACAAGAAAATGGGAAATGTAACAAGTTAAACATGAATGAAATGTTTTTCCAAGTTCTGGAATAACTGCCAATTTATGGGAAGTCTTTTTTATATTTTTAAACCTGCTGCAAGCTAAGCTAACATGTTATTTTCTGGGGTTTGTGTAGGCAGAACTTAATGACTAGATGCAGAAATTGCATCAGAGAACCTCTATAAATATCACAAGCAATTGTGCACCTATAACACTGCATTTTGATGCTTTCACTTGGATGTGAAACATTCTGAAGAAATTACAGTTGACTGGGGAGGGGAAAGAACATTCGTGAGAACAAATGAAGGAAAAAAACACAGCTTCTGTGTAGAGGAAAAAATAGTATTTGCTGCTGAATGTGCATTTGGAGGGGTTTTGTTTTTAATGGACACATTCAGACAGAAGCAACTGATTACAAGATCTGGAATGCTTGAATAAGTCAGAGTACTATACAGTTACATACTGCACTGAGATGAGAAAAGGATGCTGTAAGAATGAAATTATTTGCCTGTGCTTTCCCCCTTGCATTAAGAGACAGTTATTGGTACTGTTAACTTAAGAAAATCCAAGCTGCCATCCCGTTTAAAGTGTCCGTTTTGGGAAATGATAAGGTTCTTTGAGACGGTCAGAGCTGCTTTGAAGGATCCAGTGATAGGCAGAAAGTCAAGGCTCCTCTCTCCATTCCATAACATGAAAACATTTTTGTTTCTCAAGAGCATATCCAAAACAATTCCCTTGCTTTTCATTTTTCTTCAGCCTCACTTGGTCTGCAAAAACCTATTGAACACTAATGAGAGAGACCTTTGTTTCAGGCTAGCTAACCTCTGTTTGGCCTGCAATGCCCAAATAATGGGAGGAATGCAAATTAATCAAAGCAAACAGGCCGTATATCCAGTGTGCGCCCTGGCTGGCAAATTCACCCTTCCGAGAGGAATGCAGGACCCTGAGCAAACAGAGTATCTGCTGTCAGTGTGTGTCAGGACCTCCCAGCAAAGAAAAGAGATTATGTAATATTTAGACACACATTCACTTTCTTGTATCTTATAAAATGAAATTTTACTCCTGCGCAGTTGGAGTTGCAGTTTGATTCCACTAGCTTTAAAACCTGCACTTTTACAAATTGTTTTCTAATATTAGAAGGAAAGACTGCTTACATGAGAGGAAAAGGGGATAAAAACCCTGGTGAAAAACGGATTATTGATGCTGTAATTCACTCAAATAAAAACAGGTAATTCATGAAATATTTGAACATTCTAAGCTGAATTTGATTTGTAACCATTGTTTCTCTCAGTCTGATTATATTTTTGTTTAACTGCAGTATATTTTTTGCATGCATTTACCATGTTGCAAGTGCTGAATAAAAGTTAGTAAAGCAATCAGTGAATTGAAATACGAGGTATTTCAAACAATTACTGCCATCTCACTAATATTAAGAAGTGATAGAAAATGCTTGTGACCTCCTGGGTGGTGGGAGGAGCTGGACGAGTCAGCAGGACCAGGTCTCTGCCCTCCTCAGACGCGGCTGCCTAGGAGTCTTTTCACCCTGTTGTGTTGAACTGCATTCTTTCTTGTGGGAATACTGAGCATTGTTTAGAGTGCAAAACAAAAATACGGAGGATGCAATGATACTGGGAGACGGAGGGCAAGAAGTTTAGATTCAGATCCTCTATAAGATGATTCCTACAAATTTTAGGAAAAGCAAAGCAGTGTAGAGTAGTGTAGTAGCAGAGTAGTGTAGATACCAACTAATGACAGACTCTTCTCTAAGGAGGCATTTTGAAACACTGGTTTCAAACAATATATGGAAAGATGGGACTTACCATGCAGAATATCAGAATCATCTTCTACAAAATCTATATCTCTCAAATCCCATTCAGCGTAGTTATCAAACTCCTGTTCAGAGGTGATTAATAAATTGTCACTAACCGGTTATTAGAAAAATTGATATTTTGGTAGGCATAGAAGTACTGAAAACAGAAAAATTTACTCATAAATGGTTGTACAAAGCTTCATCCTTGAGCAATATACATTGCAGAGGAGCTCTAGGTAGGGAATGCATAATCTGCACTGCCCTGGCTGTATCTGTATGTTTGGATCAGGCTCCTCTACGCTTCCCAAAGGCAGATGAACTAGCAGCAATCCGAAGCTGATCCCTTTTACTGGGCATCCGATTCACAATAGCCATCCCCAATTCACAACCCCCATCCCCGACGGGACGCGCGGCGGCAGCCGCGGCTCCCGCAGCCCGCGCACGGACGCTGCTTTTTAGCCTGCAGCGCCACCTCTGCGGCTAAATCCCCACACTCATCAGCCCCTCGTTTAATAATTCCTGCGTGAAGAACAATGAGGACTTACAGGCAGAGGAAAGCAAATGTGCGCTTGGGGATTTCAATGCACAGGTATAAATAATGAAGGAAGAGAGAATCTTTACCTCAACAAAGTCAGCTCTTGCTGGCATATACCCAGCCATATCCCTGGAAAGCAAGGAATCAAACGTAGGCCGTGGAGGGTCATCAGCAGCTGAAAAAATAACAGCTTTTAGTAGTTGTGTAGGGTTTAGGGTCTTTATTTTTATTTATTTATTTATTTTTAATTCAGACAGAGAACACAATTCTGTAAATAGGTATTTCTTGTGCAGGAAAAAGAGAGAATAATTAGTCTAAGAAAAATAAACTGATTGGGATATTACTCAGGATTATAGTCGGAAAAAGACCAAGTTCAATAGGAGAAAAACACTCTACTCTGAGATGTTCAGAGTACTCTCAGAAGTCAAATTCAAAAATTCAAGGTGATAAATAGGTTATAAAATGTAAATTCTACATTTCAGAGCTCAGCATCCCCTCGGTAACCCTCTGCACATCAGTCTCAGTGTGAAGGTTCTTTTAGTTAATAGCAACCGTGGTGTTAAAGCCTCTGTCTTGTGGGGGCCGTTTACAGAGAGCTGCAATTAACCTTAAAGATCTCTCTTTTTACAGCGCTTCCCAACTGAGGATCTTGGTGCTTTGCAGACACTAATGGACCAAGGCTCACGACACACTTGTGAAGGAGGTAAGCATTGTAAGTCCCATGGTATAGATAAAGTAAGTAGAGGCACAGAGAATTTGTCTTGCCCCAGGTCATACACAAAAAAATCAATGACAGATGGGGACAGAACCAAAATTGTCCAGTTCTTACTGCTTACCTGTGAACACTTTATCATGAAATTTAAACCTTGAGATTACAAGGTAATATTTTATTCAGACATTTCTGTGAGCTTTATAAATAGAACAGCTGCTAGACTGGTGGCCATTCTACAGATGTTAAATTTAAGTAAAACTGAAAAAGAGATAAATTGCTGAAATGCTAAATGCTAAAACACATTTAAAAGAGAGATGTGAAGTCAGGGCAGTTTAAAGATAGGCCTTAATGGCCAGTATGTGATATATCAGTGTTTTAATACAGCGTACAGAAAACCCTAACATTGTTTAAGCTACCCATCAGAACAAGCTGTCTTTCTGGGAATAAAAGCAAGCTGCATGCGTGCTGTACACCCTTCTCCAGAGGCTGCTCATTCCAGTTCTGGAAGAGCAGAGCCCCTGGCAGGAGGGGATACTCACGGTGGAATGGAATGGCTGTTTCGTTGTGCTGCGCCTCTTCTGCCTGCTTCAGGTTCAGTAACGTGGATGCAAACAAGGGGTTGTTGATGAAGTGTTTCATGTAGTGTTTCTCACACTCCTCCTTGGATTTGGTGCACATCTGATTGGCTACATCCTGCCTGGAGGATGGATTAACATGGAGAACACAGAAATGTTACGCACTTTCTCTTTTCTTTAGTGAAAAAAGGTAATTTTGGACAGTAGACTAAACGTGTTGTACACAGAAAATTAATTTGTGATAGCCTTAATTGCATCCACACATAGAAACTCACAGTAAAGACTGGAGCTCTGTATTTTCAATACAGCAATTATTTCACAAAGGCAAAACGATGCACAGCAAATCCTGAGCAACAGTTGGCTTCCTTTGGAATCTAGTGACTTTAATGTGATTTGAGGGAGCTTTTTACTTCATGGGAAGTGCTTTGCATCTCACAAGATGAGGCCTTTAACAATTTCTTTGTATTTCTAACAGCAGTATGGAGAACAAAATCTGTTTTAACTGCTCAGATAGTGTCTTACCCATGACAAGTCACAGACTGCTGTGCACCAAAGTATCCAACAGTAAAAGAAACTTCCCATCATTTCACTGAAATTGGCTGAACCACTGAATCCTCACCAGTTCCCAAATCCACAGTCCATCACAGCTTCTAGGAGAGCCATTTCCTCTTGAGCTGTCCAGTTAGGATCCAAGACAGGGAAATCTGAAGTCTAGGGAAGGAAAAAAAGGCAAATCAAACTTCTGTGATCCCCTGTTAAAAACCACCATTTGAAGAGCAAGGTACTTCTATATTCCAAACAGCAAGACACATCATTTTTATATCTTCTACTGTGTCCCATCAAATCTGATCAAATAATTGTTGAATTATTTAGGTCACTGGGTCATCAACTATAGTACAAAATAGTATTATTTACTATTATAGTATCATTTGCAAAGTACTGTATCACTTGAACTTTTTAATGTAAGCAAAAAAGGGTCTAACTCCTGTAAAAGTTATAAAAGACCAAGATAGAGTAAATGTAGTCTAAAAAGAATATTTACCATTATTTCGTAAGTATGGTCGCTCTGATGTTTCTTATATTCAAATCCTCGCGTGAAACACTGTAAAACAAGAGAGTGGCATGATGCTAACTGATTCCATTTTACAGGAAGGTAAAAAAATCTATGTTAAAGTAACTGGAAGTTAAGTTCATATCTTCTTATTTGCACCAGCACATAACTGTGAATGTCCATACTCTTAGGCAGCTCAGTGGTATGTTTTGCAATGGATGGAGAGGACGTTTCTCGTGAACGATGTCTCCAGACATGCAGCAGCATGCTCCCTCACGCTGCCAGGAGGGCTGCGGCTCTTCGGGTGGCTCTGGCTGCCTTTTCAAAGCCCTCTCTCCTTCAGCTGCTCCAGCAAAATCCTTCAGGCTTCAACACTTTCTTTGTCATTTCCCTGTCCCTGAGCAAATATGTGCTTTGATACCAGTTTCCAGAGACCAGTTATTAATGTGTTTGCATAGCAGCCTGGCAGCAGACAGGCCTTTGATGGCCTTCTCCAAGAGGTGAACGTGTGCACTTTTATCCCTGCACTCACCTGCAAGCACAGGAGGAAGGGAGGCGGCCCACACTCGGCGCACTTCACGTAGGGCTCCGTGAGGTAGGAGGAGCAGCCTCGGCACGGAGGCTTATCGAAGGGGTCATCTGTGAAGCCAGCGGGCAAACGCAACACAAAAGTGTCACTGCTCCTGCCATCGTTCAAATTGCACTCTATAATTTTAATAACTTAAAATAAAGACAGCCGAGTATAACCTTTTTTCTACCAGAGCTTCTCCAAGTATCTGTTGAAAATTCCTTGTTCAACTAAAGCTGCTAGAAAGACTGCAGAATCTTTGGAGATCACCTAGTTCAACCCCAGCAAGATCCTGGCATTTCTCTACTAGACCTAAGCCACCGAGAGCTCAATAGCCTAACACTGTGCAACGGAATCGAAGCAAAGCCCTCTCTGCAGCAGCCTATGGCTATTTCTCTGCAGCGATGCACGGAGCTGCGATGATTTGATCCCGTGTCCGTGGTCATGTTTTGCACTGAAGACAAGTCCCAGGAGCTTATGGAGGATCCCGCATGCACAGCTCTGGTTTCCCATGCATCTGCCTCAAGTCTGACCTGAAAAGCTTCCTGCTGTGGTTGCAGAGGCATGGGCGCTATTGCTCTGAAAGCCATCCAAACCTCAGGCTCTGCTCAAACTGCTGAACAAGGAATGAAACACTGCTTTACAGTGCTTTACTACTTATTTTCTTCTGCAAAGTAGTCAAAGGAAACAGGCTGACAAGTAATAAAAGCCATAACTCTTTCTTCCCGTAAAAAAAATAGCCCAAATATAACAAGTAGACAGGAAAAGACACCAAATTCCCGCCAAATAATTCATATACTGATTGTGCATTGAGAATGTGAGTAAGCGGGGACGCTATTGACCACATATGGCTCATTTTCTGTCTCCCTCCCCGAGCCAACTGCTGATTCCTTTAAGAAAGGGCAGGTCGTTTCCAAATCCCGGCTTTGGGAACTTACTGCTGAAGGAGGCCAGGCGCTCCATTCCAGCCCTCAGTGGCGTTCCTGCTCCCCTGGGCTGTAAAAGCTCTCAATTCCTGCTGGCAAAGCCCGCAGCACGAGGCTGGGGCCGGCCAGCACGCCCGGCTTTGCGCTTGCCGGTGTCCTCCACCTGAAGGAAAGGATTCCTGGCAGGCCGGATCCGTCCTGCTCGGGATGTGCCCAGCTGCACACCCAGGAGCTGCCACCGGCACCGCCGGCACGGCTGTTTTATGGGGCTGAAGAAGAAAGGCGAGAGCAGAAATCAAAGGCAGACGATACAATTCACCTTGTGGAGGGGGGGATGTGACTGAGGGGGAACGTGCGCCCTTAGGGACATTAGGGACAGTGACTGCTGCCGGGAAAGCAGGAGCAGGGCCTGCGGGTCCGCGTTTGTACGCGATGGATTTTGCCTCATGGTTTGACTTGGACAAATTCTCCCTCCAGGGGGCTTTAATTGGATAAAGGGCGCATCAACTGTTTCACAGAAATTATTGGTACCAAAAAAGAGCAAAAAAAAAAAAAAAAAGATCACACCTAAACAGTAGCGCTACGAGTACGGCTGCCTCGTGGGTGGTGGCCCCAAAGAGGAGTGGGCTGCAGCCTGGTGCAAGGCTCAAGCAGGGCGGCCTCGGGCGGGCCCCGGGGCGCCCCGCGGACGCTCCGTGTCGCCGGGCCCGCGCGTGGGCCCTGCCCCGTCCCGCGGCCCGCGC